AATACAAAGAACAGCCAACCAAAAATCCCCCCTGCCCCCAAAAAACTTTTTTTTTAAATTTATTTTTCAATTTCTCTTCTCCGCCTTTTTTATTTTTTATTTTTTATAATTCTAAAAACTTATCTGTTTCCAAAAAAAAAAAAAGGGGTTGTAGGGATTAAAAATCTCTACAACCCCATACATATATATATTTTACCCATTATTTAATTCAGGAACAATATGGTAAATTCATGTCCTCGGCGAGGACGAGGTCGGCCGCGGACGCGGCCGTATATACGACCGCCATCCGAGCTCGACCCCGCGGATGCGTCCGCGGGTGTTTCATAGCTAACGGCCCTAAGTTTGAATCTATCGGTTCCGACTACAACATCGGACTCCCCAAATCTTTCCCTAATCTTCCTCCAAGGTTGAACCCAGGCAGTTCCCGTACTAGTGGTTAGATGAATCACACCTTTACTCCCATTAAGACACTCCAGTAAATTGATAAGTGACGAGTATCTCTCGCCATTACGTTCGATCGTGACAAAGCCACCCATGTTTTTTCCTATCGCTTTCCGTCGTATTCTCTTCTTCCTTTTTACGTATCTCCCATCTATACGCCCGATAATGTTAAGCGTCGGTGAAAACCTATGGATCAAGGATTTTTCTACAGCCAATGTGTCTCTCACCCCGGTGACCAGTGGTAAGACTACATATTTCTGCCAACCAAAAAAACGGAGCCACGTGTGCAGTCTAGGCGCATTCCCTGTCCCACTTGACTTTGAACACCGGACATGTTCAGCCCATCTCGTGATGATTTTCCGAACGGTGCAGCCGATATAAAAGCTCCTACATACAAGGCTGATCACAGCATAAACGCCCTCGTGGTTGACATTTATCGTCAATGGGTCCACGCATCTCAGAATCTTGTTCATCCATGGGATAAACCCACGTACTGCGAGAAGCAACACTATTAGTGCTAATTCATTCTCTTCGGTACGCATCAGAAGGGGTGATTTACTCTCAGCTTCCCATTTCTTTCTTTGATTAACAAGAATATGAAAGCGATCAAGTCCATCCTGTGATAGCATAGCCACAAAAAACAAGAGCACTGTGTAAGCTTTCTTCATGAGATCACCCATATTCCTGTCAATTACCCATTCGAACTACAAAAACGGAGGAAAAAGAAGAGAAAATTTTCAGATCGACTACGCAAAAATATGAAGGCAAGATAGACAATCAGTAAATAACCGCCTACTTATAGCGAAGTAGGAGTGGATCAAATACAGTTCTAAATAATTCAAAAGTACTGCGGAACCTGAACCACATTACCAGTGGTCTTAACGACTGTTGATGTCAGCAGTCGGTCTGCTACTTGGTGTTGCTGGATCTTTCTAAGAAAAACCTTCGTAAGCTATCCTAGTTCGACAGCGTGCGATATCGTCGACTGCTTGGTCTTTGACAATATAATCAATCCCCTCCCGGTCACAAATTTTCTTCAAGTCAGGCGCCTTGAGATCGCTGAGTGCCCTGGCTTGAGTAAGGGCATAGTCCACCACACCTTCACATGAGCATTCTGCTGAGCAAACCTTCGCAGGAGTCTCCAGTGCATCTGGACCGTCGCCTCCGGCTGCTGGTCTGACCTTTCTTGGAGTCCTAGAAATCCGACTTCCTGTCGCCCGGAGAACAACTGCATTCTTTTTTCCTTTCCTCCTATTTTCAAGCGCCTCGATTAGCTTCTCAGCTTCCTCCTTCACTTCATCTCTATCATCGTCAGATTCAACAATATAACTCCGAATGTCTCTCAACACTCGGGCTTCTTAATCTCGAAGGTCGATTGTAGAACTGGAGATGGAAGAGGCGAGAGGTGAGAGGGAGGAGGATGCGGAGGAGGAATGTGTGGAGCTATCAACGCCGTCTCTGTCCTTTGTGTCAGGATCCGTACGATAGTCGCCTCTAGTCGAGCTTCCCGTGCTTCAGCATCACGTAACTTCTCACTTTCCCTCCTCTGCTCTTCTTTCCTCTTCTTTGATTCTTTCCTCTTCTTTGATTCCTCAACCTCACAAAGTTTCTTCTCTTCCTCTTCTTTCTCTCGCTTAGCGATGTGTCGAAGGAGATCTTTCATCTCAGGATCTTCATCAGTTCATTGCCGATTTGCCGTCTGCCAATAATTCCTCGAGTAGTGACCGGTCTTACCACAAATGAAGCAGGTGACCATCCCAAAAGATGCGGTCGGTACCCCACCTAAAGCAGTTACACCAGGTCCTCCAATGCCGCCGATCGGAGGCATACCACCACCCATATTCGTTGTGCCAAACCCTACACCACCTACGTTTGAAGCTCCGACCCCCATACTCCCAACACCCACTATATTCATCTTCGACTTCAAAGGGAGCGGTGCAAAACTCGAATCGCCTGGCGGATTACTGTGTAGATTCAATCGAAATCTCGAAAAACGATGTTCATAACTGGCACGACATTCTTTTTATACAAGATTGAAGCCAGCCTAGTATACCTGGCCATTGGTGCTAAGATAACCCAATAAAGAGTCATGAGCAACCGCTCACTTCTCTTGATATAATCCATGATGTTCGCCCTTGCCCTCCTCGTACACCTGTCAGGAACTGTCAGCGTAAGATTATACTCTCGACCATTTGCTGCAGAACATGACGAAACATTCTTAGCCCCCACAAATCGTGGGAAGTACATCTGCATAACCTCAACGTCTGCGACCCACCCATCTTGCATTTACCATTGTCGATGCCCACTCCTCGTACTCAACCCACCCTACTATCCCCACCAAATTACGTGACCACTTTATCGGCTCAAGCCGCTGGTTGTCACGTCTACCCAAAATTCAGGGTAAAAGAACAACTCGCAAAACACTGCTCACACGGAGGACCAAAGCAAGTACAATTATACTTAACCCTCGTCGAACACCGCAATTTGTACGCAATCCCTCGACGCGTTTCGACCAGCACGTACACAGGTCTCATCAGGAGGCCCAACCATCCACCATCCAGATCAGAGGGAGCACTCCCTCCATGCGTTGTAGCACTAGATTGCCCAAAAAATTTATCCCTTCCCACACTTCCCTCCGTCCATTGTACCTTCCACACATCCCGCCCAGCACGATCCGTCATATCCACGACAAACACTGCAGATCATTCCTCTCATAGCATATGGTTCCACAACCGCCATTGTCAGACAACAAAAGATCGCGCCTCAAAGAATCATCGGTGCTCGCGTGATACACCACGGTTGAAAAGGGCTTACAGTGATGGCGCAGGCCGATATATGCACGCTTGTTGCCGTGCTCTAGAATCCGCATATTTTTGAGTATTTTTCAAGGTGCCTAAAACATTCTTCCCGCCTAACAGAGCACTGACCCTGATCAGAGGGCCCAAAAAACATATACGATAAGTTCGGGTCCCTGTCCCGGAATAGTGCCCAAATACAAAAACGGTCCGCTAGCAGACCCGGCCAAACTGCAAACGGTCACACAGCTTATAGCTACAAATCAACAACACCTACCAAAAATTGTGGCAAAAAGGGTAATAAAATAAGAAAAGGTAAAAAATGGTAATAGCCTGAAACCGAGGTACAATGCATATCAACTCTCGGTACTGGAAAAGGGGAAGGGGAGGAGGGGGTAGTTCGGGTCCGTGAACAAGAGGGGTCAAGGAGGGGGCCGAGATCACGAGACTGAGATCCTTCTCTTATCATAATGGTGGGTGTACGTTTCAGGGATCAAAGACCCCCCAAAACCACCCATCACCTTGGCAAACCTTGCCAAGGATCCGAAGAAGAAGAAGAAGAAGAAGAAGAAGAAGGACGGTCGAAGTTGGAGGAGGAAAAGGAACCTACCAGCGGAAGCCATATCTTCCTCTTCTCTTCTTCTCCTCAAATCTGAATGTCGCAAAATCCGAATGTCCCAAAATTCGAATGCCGCAAAATCCGAATGCCGCAAAATCCGAATGCCGCAAAATATCATGTCGTAATATCCCAATGTCGCAAAATCTCTCTCTCTCTCTCTCTCTCTCTCTCTCTCTCTCTCTCTCTCTCTCTCNCTCTCTCTCTCTCTCTCTCTCTCTCTCTCTCTCTCTCTCTCTCTCTCTCTCTCTCTCTCTCTCTCTCCCGTCTGCTCGCTGAGGTTGCTCAAGCTCAAGCGCCTCAACATGAAACCTCCCCGCTCGTGCACAGTATAAATGGCGAAGAGGGAGTAACGGACCTAGGACGCGCGAGTGATGGAGAGAGAGAGAGAGAGAGAGAGAGAGAGGGAGTGAGAAAGAGAGAGAGACCACCTCTTGCACATGCATCGAGGCACCATCTTTGCGCATGTTAGTATCTGGTAGAGAGAGAGAGAGAGAGAGAGAGAGAGAGAGAGAGAGAGAGAGAGAGAGAGAGAGAGAGAGAGAGAAAGGGAGAGAGAAAGATGGAAAAAAACGAAAAAAGAGGATGAAGCCACAAGCAAGCTTCCTCCTTTTTTTTCCATTTTTTTCCCTTTTTTTTTCCCTTTTTTTTCCTTTTTTTTTTTTTTCAAAACATGCGCGCCATAGCTACATGGTGCACCCTTGTCTCGGCTCGTGCCACTAGCGATGGCAGAGTCTTGACCACACTCTCCCTCTGCCATACACCCACGCGCACACACACACAGACTCTTGCCCGCACACTCTCTGTCACACCCACGCACGTGCACACTCACACAATCTCTTGCTCGCTCTCTCTCTCTCTCTGACACACATGCACACACAGACAGACATCCAAACGTCGTCCCATTTGTGTGTTTGTGTGTGTGTGTGTGTGTGTCTCTGTGTGAGAGAGAGAGAGCGAGAGAGAGAGCGAGCAAGAGTCTGTGGTGTGGCGATGAGAGAGAAAGAGCGACAGATAGACACCCAAATGAGAATGAACTTCCCGCTAGAACATGGCCAGATGCGTCCGACAGTGGTGTGGCGATGCCCACTGACCGTCCGCACGGCGGACCGAGCGCCAAACACTGGTGTGCCCGCATCTGACCGTGTTCTAGCGGAAAGTTCGTTTCGATCCAAAACGATTGCAAAATTAAATTGTCTTTTTTGTCTTTTGTTTTTTCTTTTCTTTTTTTGTTCATTTTTTTTCGGACCGACGCAAAAAGAAAGACAGCAAAAAAAAAAAAAAAAAAATCAAATTCACAGAAGAAAAAAACAGAAAGTCTTTTTTTTGTTTCGAAAACAAAACGAAAACAAAAGGCAAAAAAAAAAGCAAACAAAACAACATGCCAGAATGAAAAAATAAATAAAAATAAATAAATAAATAATCAAATAATCAAATAAGTAAAAAACAACAATACGAAACAAAACGACAAATTCTTTTTCTTTTTTAGAATACGAAACACAAAAACAAAAAATAAAAAAAGGGGGCCGGACATAAATCGACACGGAAATGCTATCCGACGGCGGGCACGTCGAGATATTCATCCGCATCGACGCCCGCCGTGTACCCGGCCCCGTTGGCGAGGTCTCTCGTTTAGTGGCGCGCTGTGAACAATTCGGTACGCACGCCACTCTTCATCCCCACCCGCCCTCGATCCCCTTCATCCGCCGGCCTGCATCAAAACTTCAACCTGATTCCGGCGCGCAGTGGAACACCGGCCTCCCCCCGCGGCCAATGATGATTAAGGGTTAGGACAAAAAAAAARAAAAAAAAAAAAAAAAGTTTGGGCTCGGTTTATTTTGGGCCACGTTCAAGCTCGGTACTGAGCGTTCGGGTTCGGTCACGGAGCCCGAACGCGATGCTACGGAGGTTTGCTGGTATATATCATCAAACAGAGCTGCTTTGTAAACCGTAGGTAGAGAGAGAGAGAGGAGGACAACAGACAAGGGGTTGTGACAAACTGTTTCGTCGAAGTTTCAATGATTCATCAGGAAGCTGCACCCTCAATAGTCTACAAAATCCCCTAACTGATCAGTGATTATAATGTAAGTGATAATCCTACCCCTTCAGCAGCATTGGTCGTGGGGCGTAAGATCGTGGTACAATGCACGACGAAATAGGGCGTGCAAATAGAAGGAGGCGGTGTCGGGGCAAAAACCCTGACAAGGGTATCTGCCCAATGGGACAGGACCTTTAAAGACCCAAATCTGTTGTCGTCAACACATCTCTTTGTCGTGCTGAATTTGGAGGGACACACGGTTAGTAAGGACATTCCTTTAAAGGGGATCTTGACTGATCTTACTTCATGTTCTCACATTCTGCCCCGCGTCTGGCTCGACAACCGTCTGCACCTCTCGAAATCTCCATTGTTGCAGTTAGTTTTCTTCGGCTGACTTATTGTGGTACATGTTCCTTGTCAGATTAGACAAGAGGGGATCTCCAGCTAATCTGATCGGGCCCGTTCGTTAAGTTAGTCCTCTCTTCTGTTTGTTTCTATTTATTTATTTATCTTTATTCTGCTGTGTGAATGCCATTCTCTAAGTCCAAATGAATCGCCGCTCCGGCTAGGAGTTCTACCTTCTGCTCTTTGTGATTTATCTATTTTTCTTTTATTTGAACTACCTACGTCCAACATTGAGACGTGTGCACAGAAAGTGGAACGAGGGAGAAGGGAGAGTGGAGGTATTCTCTTTGAGAGTGTGAGGAGGGGTAAGAGGAGTGTTCGTCCAAACGTAAGCAAAGTGTGGACCCGTCTTGAGAGATTTATTGACACCCTATCCTCCAACATGACAGACATCACATCCGAGCAATGAAAGGCTATGTTGGACGCAGCGGCCGAAAGCGAGAAACCTTTCTTTCATAAACTTTACGGGGACACAATGCACAGAGAGAGGGAGGCAGAGGCAGCAGCCAAAGCCACAAGTATTGCTACACAAGTGACCCTCCTCGAGGTTCCGGAATCTAGTGATGACCGGTTCCGAGAGAAGCTAGCTGCAGCCGTAGCAGCCTTGGTTCAACTGCGAACTTTGGAAGATCTTGAGTCCCACGTGACAACTCTAGAGCAGCGGATCCAAGAGTTGCGGGTTGAGATAGTTAGCCTCAAACAGTCCCAACTGTCTGCCCCCCGTTTTCCTAATCCTCGACCTGCTGCAGTCCCAGTCTCTCACCCTAACATAGTCCTCATGTCGAGAGCAAGTGGAACTGTGACAAGCACAGGAACCAGTGTCAGCTCCTCAAGCGGCAGCGTCGGCAGTTTTGCACTGGTCCTACTCCCAAATGCAAGAACATCAGCCCAAAATGCCGCACTTCTTACTGGCGTAGTGGACAACGGCCACACTGCCGTCCAAGTACGATGGGAAGGGGGACATCACCTCTTGGATCAACTCCATGCACTCATACCATGGACACAAATACTGAGCCCGCCGTACGGAGTTTCATAGAACTCCAAGCTATTACTGGGTTATGAGAGGATTGACCTGACTGAGCGGCTGAAAGTACATACCCTTGAGGACCTCCTCATCGCGCAGTATCAAGATAAGCACGTTGCGCTCAAGGCAAGGCTAGAGCTTGAGGCCCTCAAGGGCCAAAAGTGGAGGACTTCCATGCAGGCTTTGGGACAACACTTGACTGGTATGTTCACCAATCCAAACCTGGGATGGACTGACGTGTCTTGCATGAATGTAGTAATGGGAGTGACCCCTGAAGACTATGTCTCCCAGCTAGGACTTAAGAACCATACGACCTGGCGTGAACTACTGACGAATCTAGTCAATCTAGAAGCCAAGGACCTCGCCAGGCGTGCGAAGACACCCGTTGAGGGTAGAACCTCACGATGCAAGCGGTACGGAAGCAGCAACCAGCTTGCCCTGCATGAACATCGGGAGGCTGAGGATCAGTCCTATACGGATGATCTGTCTCTAGATGACAATCTAGA